GACTTTACTTTGTACACCTGTTGGGTAACGGTAATTCTTATTTTTTGTGTTCATCGTTTGATACACTTCAATTACGCGTACCTTATTGTTCTTCTAAAAAACATTCCAAAATTGCCCCTTAGCGGAACCAATGGGAAACCGAGATCACATTTCGTTCTGAGTTCTTCTTCTCAAGGTTAAAACAAAGCTGTCTATGTTACCTTGCTACCAGTTCTCTAGTTGCTTAGCTACAGTACTGTACATCGAGTCACAAATAAAAGTGGAGTGCAGAAGTATCTGGGATAGTTTATTGTTGATCTCCCGATATATCGCAAAAAAATGAAGGACAGTCGAGAAACAGTGAAATTGCCGATCGTCGGGGATTTTCCCGACATATGAAAACAACGCTTTAGAGAAAGTTAAATACATGATGTACTTTGTTGAAATGTGGTTTGTAATACTGTGATTTTTGTCCCTCAGGCTTGGCCCGAAGACGCTCTCGAAATGGTAGCGAACAAGTTCTTAGACGAAGTTGAAATGTCTCGTGAGATTAGAGGAGAATGTGTTTCCATGTGCAAACACTTTCATCAGAGTGTGCGAGGAATATCGGACAGGTAAGTCATGATTATCATCACCTTGATTAGTTAGCCACATCAAGGAACAATAAAAGACAACAACCATGTCTGACATCACTAGTTTCTTTTCTTTTTTTTCTTAGGTTTTATGCTGTTCTTCTTCGGCGAAATTACGTTACTCCAACTTCATATCTGGAATTGATCAAGACGTTCAAGTCACTTCTCGGGAAAAAGCGATTCCAGATACTGACTCTGAAAACAAGATATCTCAAAGGTCTGGAGAAACTAGACTTCGCTTCATCGCAGGTGAAAATATGCCATTGGTAGAAACAATAGATTGCGAGCACGTCCTTGTTATAGCGCCTCGGCACGAGTATTTCTTCGCCCGCGGGATAGTATTAGGCCTGGAGCCAGGCGAGCGGCTAGAGAACTGCATGGGGTCTAGCTCTGATAATTAGTGCTGGACCTCCAGCAAACTCCTCCCCGACTTGTCTCAAATCTTCCGGCGGGCGGAAAAACGCGGGTCCTACGGCGTTATTTGGCTAAAGAAACAAATGATTATTTTTTTATCATTTTATTTCATACATGCGTATTGATTACAATCTTATCATGTGTCAACATGTCACACTGTCTAACCTGTCATAGTTGAGTTTGAGCATGTGACTTTGGGGCGCATGATTTTGTGTCTCTGTGTCATTTTTTTTTCCTTCTTNCTTTTTCAAATTGGCAGGTGTCAATTATGCAGCAAGAGCTAAAGGAACTACAGCCAGAGTTGATTGAAACCAGTAAAGAGACAGAACAGTTGATCAAAGTTATTGCTGACGAGACTTTAGAAGTGGAGGATAAGAAACAGGTGAAAATCGATTATTTCTGAACAGTAGAGGAAAAGGAGCAACTCGAGCTTTCGATGATAAATAGTGTCAAACTACAATAGATTTTGCCAGTTACATAACTGTGTTCTAAACAAGACGTTATGTAATGATTTGTGAATGATCGTGCTGTTATTGAAAACTGAGCTGAGTTCTTTTTACAACAGGTGGTACAGGCTGATGAGGCCACGGCTGATGCAGCAGCACAGGACGCCCAAGCTATTAAGGTACTTCACAAGACACTCGCTAAATAGTGAAGGAAGCAGTTGCAACTACAACAGAAATTTCGTAATTTTTGTCACGATATAGTAACACTGAGAGTATTTCATCCAATTATCAGTAAACTGACGCTAATGATAAGAATAATGATTCATTTACTATGCGCATTCTTCATATAACTATACTCTAATGCGCTTTACAACACTTTGGGCAGACTGCAATGATCAAGTTACAATTTTTGAAAGGGATATTTGCTTAAAGTTGCGTATGTACAATTTAGGATGAGTGCGAGGATCAGTTGGCCGTTGCCATGCCAGCATTAAATGCCGCTGTATCCGCACTGGACACCCTTAAACAGCAAGATATTTCTTTGGTCAAAGCCATGACAAACCCACCTGCTGGTGTGCGAATGGTGATGGAGGCTGTGTGTATATTGAAAGTAAGTGAGCCATTAAATCCGGAGAAAGTTAAAGATTCAAAGCTATAAGTTCGTAACCTCATTAGAATTCGTTAATCAGCCAAATTTTTTTGAAAAACAATGTAAGAGCAGTTTTTTAATTGAGTGTCGAAAGTCGTCCGGGATTACATTGGGTTTGCTTGATTTCGCTTTGTGATTGATCCAAAAAAACTCGTGCCACTGTCTCAACCAATCAGATGCAGAGCTTAAACCAAACACGACTTGGTCGCCCACGTTTTCCCGCGCTTTGGAAAGTTTTGTTGTTTTTCCTTGGAGTTCTCATTGGCTCTTAAAGATATCGTACTTTCTTCTGAATGGTCGTTGTGATTACTTTGATTTTAGTTTTACGACACTCAATTGAGAAGCGCTCTATCAGTGATTGGAGTTTGCTGTTATATTGTTGTTGCTGAACTGTTTACTCCCAACACGTAATTTGATATTCTCCTTTCAGCCTGATGATATTTCATTGTTGAGTGGCCGAGAAAAGTTGATATTTTATCAAATTAACACCACTGAGCGGATATGTTTTTCTTTTCTCATTACCCATGTCTTGAAAATTAAATCGAAATTGTAATAAGTTTTAAGTCAACCACGTTTGGCAGTCAGAGACTTTTAATTTTTTTAATTGTCACGGAAGCATAATCACTCCCTCTGCGCGTATTCAGCCCCAGTACCCCCATCCTCACCCACGTTCAAAATACCGCGTCCCAAACCCAAGTGTCTTGTTGCTAACTCGTTCCATTTTAGCAGTTAGCGTGTCTCCTGAAACTGCTCTCCCTTTTTCTTGCTTTTACTCATCCACAGGTTCTTGGTGACTTAAAATTCCTTGAGAGTCTCAAGCTATTTGATAAAGAGAACATTCCCGCCGCCACAATCCGTAAGATCCGAGATAAATACGTAACCAATCCAGACTTCCACCCATCGCTCATCAAAAACGTGTCGTCCGCCTGTGAAGGACTCTGCTCCTGGGTGCGGGCTATTGAGGTGTACGACAGAGTTGCCAAGGTAACAAGTAGCACGTTTATTTTATCTCACGTCTAATTTTTCGTAAGGAGTGAGTTTGTAATGCACTTATATCTGACCTACTGTTCTCTTAATCCTTTGACCCCGAAGATTGATAAACATCTTATTTCTCCTTACAATATCATCCCTGAATCACAAATTGAGGTGACGAGAATAAAGGAAATGATCACACATTAGAGAAGCTCTTGATTGTTATCCAAATTCTCCTTGTCAGCACCTTAAGAAATGTATAGAGAACAGTATGGAGAATATCCATAGTGATTCTGGAGTGTAAAGGGTTAAAGAAGACCTGACAAGGCCCAAAACTCTAAATTCTGACTTTTGTCGTGGTCGCCCAGGCGCAACAAATTTTTGTGTTTTGTATTCATCAAAAATTTTCAGTTTGTACATTCATCCTCTGCGCGTGTCATCTATGCAGCGAATGCAATTCGACTTTTTTTCGTCAACGTAACGTCTAAAAAATTCAAATCTTGAATGGTATGAAGCTTTGAAAATTGCCAAATCTTCGTCAAGTAGACTACGAGCATTCCTACCTTTTCGGCGAAGTTCGTCGCGCATGTTCAAATGAATTGGTGAAAAAAAAATTATGTTCACGCGCCGCGCGGAACTCTCGGGGTGAGGCCTATTTTTCGTGCGTCTTACTCCCAGAGTTCTGTTCGGCGTGCTATCAT